CGGTATCTTTTTTCTCTGTAGCTTCTTGACACTTCTCATCGTGCCCGTTATTCTTTCGAGCTCATTGAAATCCGACTACTTCTTCGGCGGCGGTACTTAATCAATAGGAAATGTGGTTCCACTGCTCGCACATGGCGGTTTATTGAAGAGTGTTCTCTGAGAGCCGGTGTGAGATGCGAGTGGCGAACGAATTGGCCATCTGCTGTGCTTCCAGCTTTTCGACGTTGAGCTTTTCTTGCAATGCTGGACGCCAGTTTTTTATGTTGGCTGCAACAAGATCGTGGTCCGAGTCGATATTTGGCCCTCGGAGTGTACGTACCTACGCCTAAAACACTGGAAGCGTGTATTCCATGCATCACAAAATGACTCATGCGGTTTATAGCTTTCCGATCGGGAGTTAGCCAAGTAGCTTGATTGATCTCTTTTTGCTGGATCCTCATACTGCATACCACCTTGTTTCGGGCGCCGACGAAGTCGATTACCCTTAGTTCGTTGTGGGACGTTTCGCCATGGAGGCCTAATTTTTCGACGGTGGGGCCAAATAGACCTGCCTTGCCCACCCTGCCATGAAAACCGCCAAGCGCGACTTTGATATCGTCCTTCTTTTAAGTCTGTCCTTGCTACGGGATGCAACGAATAGGTCTGTTTGCATTCTTTATACCATTTTTGGATGCGCAAATATTTACCGATTTGTTTAAAACCTTCATTAATAACAGCTTAATATTCAGTAATTTTGAAAATGAAAATATGTACATACATATGTATGTTGGCACAATAATTCCGTATGCGATTTTCCCAGAAGTATAATCAGTGTTCTACATACGTATGTACATATACACATATGTAGAACAATATTTAGGTATGTACTTAAATATTTCTTCGATAATTTTAAACGACCCAAAGGTTTTCAACTAATTTCTGTTTAAGTATTATTCTCTTTGATTTGCATAAACAACAAATTAAGGGCGAATAATTTGCAAGCTAAAACTGCCGATTGCAATACATATGTACATACATATGTACATATGTGCCTAACCAAGTATATTTTATCAATGAAATTGTTCAAGCCTATTTCCACCAAGGGCTTAACTGCTGGTAAGAGCTCAGATAAGTGCCAAGAATTTTAACATGCGGTGATTGGCATGGTTTATTTCTTAATTTTTGCTACTTTCCTTTCTTTTGCCCCTACTCAATAAGTGAAATTACCACCTTCCAGTTGTAATATCTTTTTTCCAATAGGCATAAACTGCAGTTAAGGCTTGGTGGGTATCAACTACTAAATAACGTCGTAAGAAACGCAGATTAAAATGTTCTCGGATGTTTTTCGTTTCATTTATTCTTCCATGATCGTATTTTCAAGTGCCAACAATATTATCTTATTGCCACCGACGAAATGGGTTTCAAAAGGTTGCCAACTGTTTGAGAATTTTAATTAAAACTCTTCAATAATTTCAATAAATTATTACAATATGGGTATCAATCGAAATGGAATTGAAAGGGTTTCATTTCTAAACTACATGTTAGGGGATTCTCACCTATTTTAAACCCTGAAATTGTATTCAGGGTATAAGTTAATTGAAAAAGTATCACAAGAGACAGATTTAACTTTTAAATATTTTGAAGATGGTCAAATCTCCTGTTTTTGCCATATTTTAAGTATGTTGAGTTTTATTGAAATAAACTACACGCAGAAATTTCATACACTCAACGAAATAAAACGAAAACTATTTAGTTCAATAAAAGCATGGCATTAAAAAACTTTCTGAAGAAATGATTTGGGAACAAAATTAAAATTGGATCACGCCATCAACTCCAGCTGGTCAACTCTGAAGTTTAACGCAAGTACATAAGTCCGGCAAGACGAAGAAAGAAGTGCCTGTTCGGAACTAGCATAATGCTGTGCTCCCCTACTGGGAGCATTTGGGCCTTGCTATGAAGGGGATGCTCCGGCGTCATCAAAATGCATCGCGTATGGTTTCCCCATGCCTATCCCTAGATGACTTTAAACCATTCTGATTCTCTCGCGAATCCTAGTGGACCCTCCTATATAGCTTTCCCTAAGCTATCTAGGCCGCCCAGAAATTTGAGGCATTTTCTCCGGAGTGCAGGGAACTCAAAGGACCCCTCAGAGATAATTCCTAAGAAAAAACGCCAGATCCTGTACCTCCGTCCATTTCAGAGCCTGCCATGAAAATGCACTAGGTAGGTAAAGCCATGATATTCTTCCATGTGTTTACTTACCAACCATGTATTGCCTATTGAGAAACTTATAAAGATCGGTGTTCCAAAAGGTTTATCTCCCATACATCTGATTATTTATGTAGATATGAGATTTTGGGATATAACTCCACTATTAAGGAGCTTAGCTACAAAAATTTTGTACCTACATATTTGCTTATCAGGTTGCAAGTTGGCAGACAGACCACTATAATTACCATTGATATTGCCACGTCCTTTACTTCAGTTCTGCATCAGATATGCAAGCTTCTAAAAACAAATTTTTAAAATTAATCCTTGGTAAACCTAACAAATGATTCGTTAGCTTATTAACGAGAAATTTTCCCACAAAGGTAAAGAGAATTTTGGATGAAACAAATTGCGCCGCGCATGTATGTAAATACGCAAATATTTATCCTACTTATGTTCTTATGTACAAAAAAAAAAGAAATACATATCGTCGTTTAAAGTAAAAAACCGCGTATCATGGTTCTGCAAAACCTCGTAACTGACATTTGTGCCAAAAAAGATATTTTCTCTCCGGAAGCTCCTGCCATAAGCCCTTACCCATTCATACTAAAGTATCGATACTTAGACATAAGAAGAAGCGGCAATTAGGGATAAAAGAGAGAACCGTTTTGAAAAAGGCAAATTTAGCTTGCTCCTATAAAATTTGGCCAACCTCACATACGAGTTTTTGTACTTTAAACGACATGTATACATGCACTTACTTTCCGCCACAATTGCTTAAGCCTATGTATACCATTTTAAGGCTTAGGTCATATCTGTTATAAAAAGGCTAGCTTCACACGATTCACCACAGTTTTCTCCCTACAATTGCGCAGTGAAGTAGTCGTGACCTAATTACGATCTGAAAAAATGCATCATCGTGCGCTCTTACCAAATGGGCAGCAAGCGCCACTTACTTGGCATCTGAAGTGTTGCTTTGTTAACGGTTCTTGGCCCACAAGTGACGACGCAACACCCTTGCAACGAAAATTCAATCGTCTCAAATTTCTTTGGTGTACCCTGCTCTTTACGTTAGCTTATGCTGGCCAAATACCTGAACTCATAATGCGAAAAGATGACATACACATGATGGTGCAACTTATACTCAACTTTACGATTGCTTTGGAGTGTATGATTCGCATTGGTTATAAGGCATTCATACAGGACAAGTTTAAGGATTTTATCAATGAATTCTATTCGAAAATTTATTTTGACGAGTGAGTTGCCTACGTTAATTTTTATTTATATGCATTTGAAGGATTTTATAAGGAGTGTGGAAGAACTAAATAGTTAAAATTAATTCCGAACATCATAACCGATCGTTTACAGAGTACGAGTTCTTTACTAAATAGTCGTTTGGGGAAAGCATGTGTCACTATTAACTAACTTAAAGCTCAGTTAAACCGTCACACTGTTTTAGATTCTTGAAAATAGCATGGAGGCCTACCTACAGCGTTGATATGACCCATCTTCTTCTATGGGTTCACCGTATGCTTGAACGGCTTCCGAACCCCTTTTCGCACCTACCAAATCTCTCGAAATAATATTAAATCTTCCACCGGTGTATATCTATGGCGAATTTATGGTCGGCTGTATTGCGGCCAAATTAAATACGGTACAGCCGCGTAGAGGCAGGAAAATCGTACAAGCAACGATCCTTCAAACTCTACAGGTTAATCTACGACAACTTGATTATACCACTAGATAACAGATTATCCATATGAATCCCAGAAAGGAACAAATGGGAAAGCGCCACAGACCCAAACCCAGGGTCGATGGCTATATCTGTGGTCACTATGCATGACAGCTTAAGTCGGGAGGTTGGCTTTAGTTGAATGAAAGCTGTGTTGCCTTGTGATGACAAATATATACAGATGGTTCCAAGCTTAAAGGAAAAGTGGATAGCGGGAAATAGTCTGGTGAAGTCGCACTAAACTTCAGTTTCTGCTTACCAGACCACTGTAGCGTTTTTCAAGCAGAGCTAAACGCAATTATGGAGGCCGCATAGTGGTTCATAACATCCACCCGTCCAGGACGCCCTCTCACTATTTATTCTCACAACCGAGCTGCTGTTAAATCTCTAAAATCTTACGAAACGATGTTCCAAGTAGCCGTAGAAAGCAGAAGGATTCTCAAGAATCTGGCATCAAACTACTTCTTAACTGCTGTATTGGTCCCTGGACGCAGGGATGTTTCTGGTAACTGCATAGAGCCGAAGGCCACTATCCCGCACAAGCCACTTCTTTAACAAGTACGTTTCAGATTGCTTGGCCGAACTGAACTCAGCGAACATTCTTAGGAATAAAATGATACCATGGAAGTATCGATACCTGTACTTTTAAGTAGCATGGAAGGAAAGTATCGATACCTAGTAAGTACCGGGCTAAAAGTGTCTATACCTACTTATATCGATATTTGTACCTATATAAGAATTGTTTGTGCTGGCTATCAGCGAAATAAGGCAACACAAAGCAGTCCGAGTAGCTCCACTGAAAATAAAAAAAATAAAGGGGTTTCGCATAATTTTCGTGCGCAAAATAAAAATTATACTTGTATTTATGCAGATCTATTCGTACCTCTTAACTTATGGTCTTTTATATATTAATATAATTTGCTTTTATTTACCGTTATTAATTTGATAGAAACACCCACAAGGAGATGTATCTTCAAATTCAAAACCATTCTAAGCCAGCGAATATATACTCATTATCATACATGATAACAATGCTCTCATTTTACGTGCTGCCCTTGCAAGGCATTTTCGTTGGCGAGCGTTATCTACCCTACGTACTAACAATTCCATTCGACTATCGACCATGGCCCATTTTCACAACCATAATCTTATTGTGTTTCTACATTGGAGTTTTAGTAGCGACTGTTATCATTTCGGAATCGTATATACTCGCTATGTCAATATTAAATTTGAATGGCAGATTTGCGTTGTTGGAAGAAGAGATTCTAAATTTAGGCGATGAGGTATTGAAGTTGGAAAATCCGGAAACTATAGCTGATCAATTCAACGAACGTCTAATCGTGTTGGTCAAACGAAATGTGAATTTAATTAAATTTGCTGAGAAGCTGGAGTCACAGTTTACATTTCCACTCTTCGTGATGATGGCCGACAGTGCGTTTGTGCTCTGCTTGTTGGCGTTTAATGTACATGAGGTAAATATATGTTAGTTTCTTCGACCTTGTGTCAAATGAGGTGATAGTTATTGTACTTAATTTTTTTTTTTTTTTTTTAGATTGGCTTTGCCACGGATAGCATTAAATATGTCATTTGGTTACTGGCCAAGGTTTTAGAGCTGGTTGTACTCGGCTACTTGGGATCCGTCACATCTACAAGAGTAAGTATGGATAAATGTGGTGGTGGTGGTACGCGTTTGAACTAAACCTGCATTTAGTTGAATATCGTCTAAATATATACACCCAACCAACACCGCATCAGTTTTTGTCAGCAGAAAGCTCTGGCTTTGGCGTCGATGGTGCGAGTTTACGTGTTTAACATACGCCTTGTGACGCTTTGGATTATCGTAATGAATCCATTTTTCTTGGCCAGTGACAGTGCAATGCAAAAACGACTTCGCTTTGTACCGTTGAACTAGCCTCACGGAAGCAGTGACCTGATTAGATATATCTCGGTTTGAGTTTGTGAGGCACCTAGTTTTCGATGATATATCGACGGTCGAGTGGAAGATCGAGCTATATCGGCAGCCGTTTCCAGAATGGTCTATCTCACAAAATTTCTCAAGAACGCCTTATTTTAGAATTCGGCTGAACAACGTCCTACCTCAGACTTCAGCTTCCGATATATTGCATTTACAATTAAGATTTCGAACGGGACGGCGGCAGCTGATCAGGCATCCATCATTTTGGTTGCGGCCCAACTCGTAGTTTCGCGCTGGGCACAATTTGAATCAGGCAACACCTCTTTGCGAGCGCACCGTATATTTAAACATCAATTTTTTTTTTTTTTTTAAGTGGCAGGCAATGCACTCCACTTGTAGCACCCCAAAACTGTGAAGGAGCGGCGCACTGTGTTCTGAAATCATAAAGTAGGGTCCAAAATAGTGCAGAGCTTCTAATTCTTAAACGATTTTTTTCTTTCTTGTTTTAATGAAAGCTCATGGGTTTCAAAAGAGAACTCAATCCGATCTTATTCCTTATTTTTTTATGAAATTTTTATTTGTTTATATTTAATTTTTTTTAGTGAAAATGAATTATTAATGAATAGTTAAAAGCAATTATATGGCTCCTCCAAAACGAAAAAAGTTGCAAATAAGGATTTGAAATGTTACAAAAAAATGTTCACCAGAATTAAAATTTTCTTTTATTAAAAAAAAAAAATTATAGGTATACAGTTTTATAGCCCATTAAAGTTGTCCAAGTCCAAGTTTCGAGCGCTTAAGAACGCGGGTAGATTTTTGAATTTTTTTTTGCTGAAGATGCAAGGCATTTCCTACCACAAAAGTACGTAAAGTGTTCTCGAAATGTCTGCCCTAAACACAAGGTTCTGTCCCTTTCGTCTTTTGTGAAGTTTTACTCTTCTAGCTCTGCGGTTTTGACCCACCCTATTGTTGGTATAACATACATATTTGCATATTCATCTTTTATCATAGTTAATGGCGTTTAGTCCTTTCCGTTGTGTTTGTCCGAATATAAATTTCGTTCGTTTTAATTAGTCTGTATATTAGGGTGAGTCTTAAAATATCAATATATAAATTTTGCATACACGAAAATTTCAAAATAAAAATAAAAATTTGCGGTCTCTTGGGTCAAGTAAAAGTTTTGTCGAATTTTTGCGATTTTAAAAAATTAAGATATTTACAAACCCGGTAGCGACCACTAAATTTTTTTTTTAATTTTGCGTGGATATCTTAACATTTTTAATATTTTAAGGAACACCTTACTGTACATTGTCTGGTTTTTTAGGGACTTCGAAAGCAAGAACATAATCCTCCCGTGTAAAAATGTATCGCATCCAAACGTTATTTACTTACTTTAAATGCGATCTCTTAAGTTATGAATAATTTTCAAAGCTTTATTTTAAATATATGTATCTTGACGCAACGGCGCTTGTCGGAATAGTTTTAAAAGTAGTCTTGTATTAACTAAACACACTTCGACGTCCCTTCTCCGTTCACGATTATTACAGGTTGATGGACTTGGCACTACTTACTATTCCTCGGGCTGGGAAAAAGTCATCTACAAGTCAAACAATTCTAAAGCTAATGTACGAACTATGAAACTTATTACACGCGTAATATCTTTCAACCAGAAGCCATTTATGCTGACTGGCTTGGGATTTTTCAATGTGTCCTTGGAAACTACGCTTACAGTAACGAATTTGGTTTTTATGTTTGTGAGTGCACATGAATATTAATATATTTTCTCTACACTTTCAGGTCATACGAGTAGCTGGTTCCTATTTTACATTTATCTGCTCAATTCGTTGAAAGTTAAGGATCTACAAAAATGTCTGATTGAAATTAATCAGTTATCGAATATATATATACATATGTACAGCGTAACATATGTACATACATACAAAAGTAAATAAATATGTAGTTAAAAAGCAGAAAATTTTAATAAGCTTTTCTTCGTTCGGGAATTTGGGTCCTTTGTGCAGGAATTGCCCTACATTGGGCTACATTACTCAATGTTTATTTTTTTAGCAATAACATACTTCTTTGTTATTATTAGATATGTTGGCGCTACATTATGGTATGGGGTGCAGAAAGTTACGAACGATAAACTATGCGCTAGGACCCGACACGTAAAAAACTGACCAACGAAAGGTATAAAAAAGCTTCGAATAAGACTCGACTCGCTAGCCCTCAGGAAAAATGACCGAAAATTTGATCAAAAAGGTAGGTGACTTATAGAAGAGTTCAAGACCAGGGCGAACACCTGCAAAAACAACAACGCCGACCGTCAACGAACTGATTGGGCCTTATCAGTGTGGCTCAAAGCTCCGTCAGAATTGGGAACAGTGTTGCCAGAATCTTTGTATAGCACATCCCCATATCGAGCCGCAGTTATCCCCAAAAAATCCCCATTTTTCTTCTAAATTCCCATTTAAATCCCCTTAAGTAAGAAATAAAAAAATATATATTCTCATTTCTGTTAGTTCATTTTAATTACAGTTTTGAATACTTTTATATTAAAAATTTTCACAGATGTATATGTGTACATATATGTATATGAGATCATTTGGTTATTTACGTATAGCGGTTTCTTATTTTTTATGGTTTTTGGAGACTATTTAACAACATACCTTCGGCCCAAGGTTCCTATTCCCATTGCTGTCTGTAAGTTCGTCAATTTTTTTTGTGCGCTTACCACTTTGTAAAATTCTATTTACACTAAGCAAATCAGAAATATATGCAGTCCATTCGGTAAATGCCAATCACAGCGATCCTTTTACAATTTGGTGTAATGAAGTGAGAGAAAATTGTGTGTTCAGCGAAAGCCATTAAAACAGGCATTTTCCACGAATAATGCTTTGACAAAGAAAATCTTTGTTTGAGAAATTTTAAAGGGCAGGCAGTAAAATATATGTATTTTAATTTCAATATGAATATTTTAAACCAAACAAAAATCCCCATCAAATCCCCACATCCCCAAACGAAAAAATCTATCACCAAATGGTTTCAGAAATCCCCAAAATGGAGCGAAATCCCCACATCTGGCAACTCTGATTGGGAATGACCTCTCCGAACCTCTTACTACATAGCTGATCCAGCAAGTAAACAGTCATCGCCTCGGCACTTATTGGTGAATGGAGCAGAACATCCGATGAGGCAACATCTTGTCGTACCTTTGAGCGTGAGTCATAATAGCATATTCAAGCCGTTGGATAGTATTAAGGATGACTTATCTACGATAAAAAATGCCAAGTGAAAAACCTATTGTGACTGAACTTTCATCCTTTAGAAGTCTAAGCAAAGCTCAGGGTATTTAATTCTTCAAATGGAACAAATCTACCACTCAGTAGGCCCTGGATTCGATTTCCGGGCTCAACAGCAACGAAGTTATTGGTAGTAGCGGTCACACCTCGACAAGCAATTGCCTGTATATTTGCCATTGCAAAGCTTTTCATAAAAGCCATCTGCTGTTCAGAGACGACGTAAAATTGTAGGTCTCTCCATTTATGAGACAACATCAAGATGCAACCACAAATGGGAGGAGAAGTTTGGCGAAATACATAGAAAAATGCATAAGCGCCAAATATCTATTAAATTTTAGTGTGGCTTTAATATTTGTATTTAAATGCTTTAGCATTCCACTTACCATCATCCTGCTATTTACACCCGATTTTTTTCCTGTGGAGTTTTTCTTCGAATTTATAAAAATCCATAACCTCCTAGCAAGCAGAGAATCGCTTCGGATTTATGTATCGTGCCGAACACTACTTACACCGACATTCGATTTGAATTGTGTCTCCAAAATCTTAGTTCTTAATTGAAAATTACTAAACTTTGTTGATGTTGTAAAATTTGCTTTGCTCAACTAAAATATTTTACTTCCGAATTTTATTTCTATGCAAATTTAAGCAAGCTTTCGCACCAGTTAATTAAAAAATAACACTCCATTTTTCGGGTCAATTACGTGGGTACGCATTAAATTGAATTATGTAACTGCAGCCGCGACATTAAAACAAAGATGCTAAAATATTTTCACAGCGTAAATTAACAATAACAAAAACTAATATTGTGGAAACAGCAAAAGTGCAACGAAGAGCAAAAATTAGGTACCGAAGGAAAACAACAGCATCTTGCAGCAAGCGACTCTGTAGTAAAGTCAAAAATAGCAAAATATACATAAGTACACTCGTACATACAAATGTGTATACAATCAGTTGCGGATACAGACGGGGGCGTTGTGGGCGAACTTTGAGAGCCGACTCCTCGCTGAAAGGTGTTAGATGTCTTGTTAATTTACCCTTATTTGACAAGTTGACCCCAATTGCCCCTCAGCAATCAAAATTCTGTATCCGCCACTGTAAACAATATACATATGTATATATGAAGATTCTGTCAAAATATAACCGAAACGGTGTCCATAAAAACAACAAAAATTAATTAAAAAATATCCTTTTTCCTAGTTATGGTTGATGCAACATTATACAACTCCTTGAAGAACGATCTATCAATTTTTTAAAGCATAGCCTAAAACATACCAGTTTTGATAAAGTTTTTGCAGTTTGGTACACCGATACATAAGTCTCAGATTTGGAAGTTATTTGAAGTGTTGTAAAATGAGATGGTTTGGTTTCAGGCCAAAAAAAAAAAAATAAATAAATTTAAAACCTTCTATATTTGAAGGTCAAGGAAATTCCTCTATGCAACAATACTATTTTTCATGAATTATCTATCTCAAAAATTTTTAAGTACATATATTTCGATATCTCTTCTCGTTATCGATATCCATATATATAATACGCGAAGGGATTTTTTGTTTAGGACAAAAGATCTCTACCGTTCGCCCGATTTTCGAAAATGAGATCTCAAATTAAAGCGCTTGGTCTGCGTAGATGTGCAAGCTGGTTTTAGTTTTTCGAAAAGCGTTACCACCTGTTGAAGAATTAAATTCAAATTATTTAATGATCAATGCCGTCAAATCCGCACCGTTCCTTAAATTTTCCAAAATGAGGCGCCAAACTAAGACAGTTGTTGAAAAGAGTTGCCACCTTTTAAAAAATTATATTCAAATTATTTCAAAAATAAATGAGTTACTGGAACTGGGTATCATTATTGGAATGGTTTGAAAAGCTTTGTTTCTTAGCTGAACTATAGGGGGTTACCACCTGTTTAAAAAATCATATTAGGGAAGAACCATATGGGTGCCAAAAGAAAGAAGTCTCAGAAAGAAGTAGTCTGAAAATATTTTGAAGAGGGTTGCCACCTGCTTGAAATGTCGAATTTAGTTTACTTTTACACAAATTATACGAAATATCAAAATATGGATGTCAAACGAAGGAGTGTTAAAAATCTTTAGTTTGAACGTTAAGGATATGTTTGAGGTGTTGGACGCGTGTTGCCACCTGTTTAAAAATTAAATTAAAAATATTTTGTAAGTTAAATGAATTATTATAATATGGGTATCAATCGAAGAGGGGTGGAAAAACTTTTGAGCTTTATTTAGCGGGGTTGCCACATGTTTGAAAATTAAAATTCCACTTAATTCATCAGTTAATTAAAATCTGTATCACGGTGTGTGGCGAAGGAGACAAGGGTTAAGCTTGAAAATACTTTTGAAGAGGGCTGCCACCTGTTTGAAAGGTCTAACTCAATTAACTAATGCAGAAAGTATATGAAATATAAAAAATATCGTAGTCAAACGATAGAATGTTAAAAATTATATAGTTTGAACATTTCGAATGTTTGAAGAGTGTTACCACGTGTTTAAAAAGTTACATTCAAATTGTTCAGTATGTTGGATGAATTATTAGAAGATGGATGTAAATCGAAATGGGTTTGAAAGGGAATTATTTCTGACATTTACTTAGGAGGGTTGCCATTTGTTAGAACAATCAAATTCGAATTAGTTTATCAGTATATTGCAATACTGTATATCACAATGTCAGACGAAAGGGATTTAAGAAGATCTTAGTTTGAGAATACTTTTGAAAAGGAACTTTTAAAAATGAGAGATCAAATTAGAGACTTTAGCCTGTAGATGTTTGATAAAGTTTAATTTTTTTAATTAATAAATTTTTTTCATCGGTATAGGGTGAGTTGAAATTCGATGAAAATAAAATTATGCACTATGCGAGACTGCTCTTCACTCAGAAATGGTTGCACGGTTGTGATGAAATATGGCACTCAGATCTATTACAACTCTGACTAACATTCGGAATATTTTTTAAGTTTTTAAACATCAATTTTGGGTTTTTAGCGGTATGTGCGGGTTCACTAGTATGTATTTAATTTTTTCCCTTTTTCCCTAAATAGAGCACTGTGCGCCATGAACGAAAGCACTGGTAATCATCACAGGTATACCACCTTTGGCCATACTAATTGAAATTGAGGCTCGCTGGGGAGCTTTGCGACAGAGCAACCTAGTGAGCATAAGTAGTGCAAAGCTTCATGGGCGCTTGATGCTTTTAAAACCATACCTTGAGTACTTTGTCATCAAGCTCACAAAAAAAATACTCTCGCAGTTATCCTTGAACAAGGCCTACAAGATAATAGTTCCTGAAAGGGACACTTACAGAGATTTAACCACAACGCGCGCCGCATATACTGATGGATACACACTCGAGGATGGCAATGCTGGAGGCGGAACATAGTATGCGTTTGCCCATGTATTATAGGTCAAAGGCGCTTACACTTCGGGGCAGTTAAGTCGAAGGACACCACCGAAGCTCCCTTTCTGGCATGACCCAAGGCTCCACTGAGATTGGTTACAGCATCTTGCACATGGGTTGCTGACGTTGCCCAGAGTGTGCGAACGAGGAT